GGGAGGGGAATGGTGGTCTCAGGCTCTACTTTGGTTTGAACTTTTCACATCATTATCTCTAGCCCAGACCCTTCTTCCCTGAGCTACAGACCCACAGAATAGTCAACTGCTCGCTAGTCTCCCAATCCCTGACATCCCAACATTACCCAGAATCAATGTGTCCCAAGCAAACTTCATTCCCCATCTGTCTCTGCCCCAGACCATCTTTGTTAACATCATTTTTTTAAACCACTTAAGCTAGATTCATCCCTGATTCCTTCATCTTCTTCAACCCCATCCCCTCCCACTCCCACCAAATCTAATTAGTCATGAGTCCAGTGAGGTTTACCAGAAATATGTTTGGTCTGTCCCTTCCTTTTCATCTTCACTCCTGTTTAAACTCTGGCTCTTGTCACCAGTTCCCCAAGATTCTTAACCATTTTCTCAGTTTGGATTCTAGGGCAAAGATCTTCCTAAAATGAAAAGGGGATCATGTCTCCCCTCTCATTAACAACTTCTGATCACTTCTTGTCTATGACTCATGGAATCAAGCCCAACTCTACTGAGGCTTTCACAGTACTGACCACTCTACTGACCATTACCACACTTTCCAGCCTCAGTGCTTGCTACCTCTCCTGCTTGCTTTTCTCTAGGTGGCAGACTTACCTCTAGGTTGGCAAACTTTTTCTGTAAAGGGCCTGGTAGTAAATATATTAGGCCTGTGGGCCACTTGTCGCCGTCATAAACTTCTCAGCTCTGCCCTAGTAGTGCTAAAGCAGCCATAGACCAGGTGTAAATGAATGAACATTGCTGTGTTTCAATAAACCTTTATGGACACTGAAATGTGAATTTCATGCAATTTTCATGTGCCATGGAATATTATTTTTTTCAATTTCTTTTCTTTAACTGTTCAAAAATGTAAAACCCATTCTTTGATGGAGGGCCATACAAAGGCACGTGGAGGGCTGGATTTGGTCTGTGACCGCTGCTTTAGATGCATGGAAATAGTTGTGGTTCATTAGACGTGGTAGTTTCATGCTTTCTTGCCTTTGCGTGACCTGGAACACGTCTTCCCATGGTCTGTCTGGCATCTTTCTGAGACCCACATTTAAGTCACTGCCTCTTTTTTGGCTTTCCTTAAATCCTTCTGGCAAAACTAATTGCCCTTTTATCTCTAGCCCTGGAACTCTTAATCAGGCCTCAGTTACAGCTCTTATCATGCTGTACAGAAGTTATAGATTTATGTCTGTGCCTCTCTTTAACCTGTTCTCCTTAAGAGCAGAGATTGGCCTAGTAGCATTCATCTTTTTTGCTGTCACATAGTAATGTCACTCCAAAATGCTTGTTACATTGAACACTGTTGCCTACCTCCTGATAACCAGTCTGAAGCAGAGCCCAACTAGAACTCAGGCCTTCTAATACCCTGTGGTATTAGGTAAAATTGTGTTTGGCCACAAACATCCTAAATTCTGATTGGACTGAGACAAGAAAATAATGTACTATGTTGTAGGTTATCTTTTATTTTAAGTTTACTTCTTTTTGTTTATCTGGGAAAAAATATCTGTCAATACCATTAGAAGTTGGTAATCACTAGCTCTGAAGTGCCATAAATCACTTAAGAATCTAGTGCCACAAAGCTGACTGGGGGTGAAACTGATCCAACGCCAATGATTCTTCCCCTGCCCTTCCAGGTCCATTCTTTAAACCTCTCTGCCCTGCTCTATGCCCCAGAAAGCTGACCTCTGTGGACTGCTGGAGAGTAAGGGAGCCTGGTGGTAATGCCAGCCAGGATCCCAGGGCACGGAGCAGGACAGAGCAGGGCCTCTGTTCCCTTGCTCCTGGCTTCCTGTTGGATTGGCAGATGGGAAGCACAGTGGATAGGAGGGAGAGAGGAGACAGGTCAAGCTACTGATCCCCTAATCCCCTCCTTGTGCACTGGCTACTAGGGATCCCTGTGGTCTCCTCCTCCTGCACTGTGGGTGGGGAATAGCTTTTCAGGTCTGCCAAGGGGCAGCCCTCTCTTCTATGGTTCCAGCTCTTGCCATCTTCTTCCCTGGTCCCTTTGCACACCTAGTGGTGGTGTAGGTCACCTGCTGTTTAGTCCTCAGGGGCCTCACCATCTCTTGTGGGCTCCTTTAGCTCCACCCTCACCTCTGTACATGGTGCCTTCACTAAACCCTCTACCGTTAAAGCTGTGCAGTATTCCTTCTGTCTCCTGCTCGACTCCTGACTGAAATCCATTTCTGCCACTGTTTTAGGATGTATTTGCAATAATAAAGCCTAGCTTGGTCTTTACTGGCTCCAAAGTTTTTATTCCTTTAGAGTAGTAGTTGTCAACTGGAGGTGCTTATACACATAGGGACATTTGGCAATGTCTGGAGACTTTTTTGGTTGTCATGACTGTGTGTGTATGGGAGGGGCTGCTATTGGCTGCTGGTTCCTGTGGTTCCCTCCTACTGCACTGTGTCTAGCATCTAATGGGCAGAGGCCAAGCATGCTGCTAAACATCCTGCTATGCACAGGACACTTCCTCACAACAAAGACTTATCCAGCTCACAATGTCAATAGTGCTGAGGCTGAGAAACATTGCTTCAGAGAGGCACCAGTGGAGTTACTAAACGATCACTGTATATCCTTGCACTATGCAGCCTCGGTCAGGAAAACACTAGAAAAAGCAGGTTTCAAGGAAGAATCATTTATTAACAGAATCACAATAATTGAGCATGCCAGACCCTAATTAACACTGCTGGGCTTCAAATCCTGGCTCCTACGTACTATTAATGAGACCTCAGCCAGCTAGTTACCTTATGACTCTCTTTCCTCAACTGTAAAATGGGACGAGTAGTAGTATCTCCTTCACACAGTTGCTGTTAGGGTTGAACAAAGTAATAAATGCCAAGTGCCTAAAAATCTAGCAAGTCCTCTTTATACACTGGCACACACTAACATGCAAAACTTCATTCTGGGATATGCTAAGGATGATAGAGAGAACAGAGGACAGGGCCTGCTTTCAAGAAGTTTGCAACTAAAACAGTGCTTTTTAGATCGTGAGTTGTTCCCTGCAGCAGACTTGTAAAATTAATTTAGAGGCTGCAACTAGCATTTAAAAATAAAAATGACATTTTCAGAGCACATTGTACATAGTAAATACCACTTGGTCATATTTTCCTTTTAGTTCTACAGATGTATGCTTATACTGGGTTGTGATTTTTTTTTTTTTTACAGTGGGGTGAGATGAACAAAACAAAGTTTGAAAGCTACTGGTTAATAGGAAAGGGAAGACACCCAAAGCACCATAAGAGGAGGCCCTGTAATTCTGCAAATACTCACAGAGGTCTGTGAATGAATTAGAGCTTTACGGCTCACGGGCTGTGTGATCTTGAGCTAGTTACACAACCTCTCTGAACTCCAGCTTCCTCAGCTGGAGGAAAGAAAAAAAAAAAACAGAAATAAAAACAAAAGTATCACTGTACTGTGGGGAGTACTGAGTGGGGCAATGCACATACAGTGCCTAGCACGGGGCCTGGTGTGCACAGATGTGGAATCCATGTGTGATCTGGAGACTGCCTGGCTTGGGTTCTTACTGCCCATTGCTGGCATCAAACCTTAACCTTAAAAACTGACAAATGGGCCCTCAGTAACTTGAGATATTAGAAACACCCAGCACTTACTTAATCAGATAAAATTATAACATTCATCTCCGCTTTTGTTTTTTGAACAACACAGCAGAAAGATACAGACAGCTGTTCCACTCACACAAAGACCCAGCCTCAGCAGTGGAATAACGTCTCCAAGAAAGATCTCGGCGTAAGGCTTTGTTACACTACTGAACCAAGTTGGTTTCTTGTTTACTTTCTAGATATTTCAAATGTGTATACCCAAGGCTAAGTAAATTAGGCCGTTCCTAAAAGGTTCAGATTTTGAAGGTAACGCTTCTTCCTTCAGGGCTGCTTTCACCCCAGTTTCCAGCCAGAAAGCCTGGCCCCAGGGGCCTTGTGGAGGGAGCTCTACTCTGCCCTATGCTACCTCAAGGGTGGGCCAGCAGGCATTTGGCTTCAGAGCCCAGGGTTCACACAGGTCCTTATACTTAATAGGTGCACAATATAAGCTTGCTGTCTATTCTGTTAAAACCAATAACAATCTGAGAATGGTAATAGTTAAAGGCTTAATGAGCACGTTATGAGGCCAACCCTTGGTGTTTATCTCTATAAATGCTGAGTACTTTGAATACACTCAATGTCGAAAAGGAATGTGCTGGTCCGCTCCCATCTATCAGCTGGATTTTTGGATCTCCTCCAGTTACAGACAGCTCCTTGCTTCTGGGTTAACCCATTCCTTTTTATAGGCGGTTCTTGGGTTAGGAAATTCTTCATTACTGCAGGAGAAATCTGCTTAGCTGCGATCTCCACCTGCCATTCCTGGTCTGATCTGTTGCCACTAGACAGTTCGTCACAGATTTGAGCATCAAAGCTAGCATGCTCCCTAAAGTGATTCTGGAATATATTCATGTTCTAGATAAAATGAAAAAGAGTAGAAATGTAGGCTGCAGAGGTCGGCAAAAGCTGGTGATTAAGAGGGTGGGCTCTGGACTCAAAAGGCAGGAGTTCGGAGGGGTTTGGGAAATTGGCTTAACCACTCTGAGCCTTAGCTTCCTTGTCCACAAAGTGAGGTGATGACCGTGTTTCCTTTGCAGGGTAATGATGAAGATAAAAGGAGATGGTACTCGTCAAGTGCCTAGCACTGTGCCTGGCTCTTAGCAGGCACCTGGTATTCACTATTATGATTAGCCTGGCCTGTGAGGGGCAGCTCCAGCTACATAATTTGGGAAACATCCCTGTCTGGGGCAAAAGACAAGGGCAGATGCAGAAATGCAAATGTGCAGACCTCTAGTCTGCAAATAGAAACATACAAAGAAGGCAAGGAAGCCTGAAGCCACACCCCAGTATGGGGAGGCGATGAGCCCTCCAGGTGTGATCTCCGCTGCCCACTGAGGAAGTCGGACGGTCCTGGGGCCTGCCTACCTTGGTATTGGGCACTGAATCCGCGCTGCCGGTGGTTGCCATCCGATGTGAAGTGCAGTCGCAGCCAGTTCTTGCTGCTGATAACGGGGGCTGGGAGGCTGGCTCCGGTGAACCTGTGGGAACAGGAAGCAGATGGGCTCAGGGACCAGAGCTGGGCAGTAGAGTTACATGAGCATTCAGGAGTTCCCCCACTTCCCTTGAGTGCCAGGGCCTCAGCCCAGCTCTGGAGCAGGAAGAGAAGGTGGTGTTGCCCCAGCCCCCTCCAGTACCCTAGGCCTGAGCAGTGTGAGATGGCTCCTCCGGGGCCTCACCACACTGCTGGCTTTCCCTCCGCTGCTGGGAGGAGGCACAGCACCCCCTGCTTAAACTCCCTAAGCATTCCATCCTTTTTCCTTTTTCTAGTTCTTTGCCTTTTCTGCTTGGAATATATTCACCTGTGACCCTTTCTCCTGCCCATCCACGTCCCCCAAGATGACTTTGGGAAGCCCCTTAAGTATCACATCTGCAGTAAAGCGTTCCCTACTCTCCTTGACTTGGAAGCACAGATTTGGGTTCTTATCCGGGTTTCACCAGTGTGACCTTGGACCTCAGAGAATGCTCTGAGAATGGGAATAATACCAGCCCTAAGAGTTTGTGGGAATAAATAAGAAATCGTATGCACAAAGAATCGAGGTCAGTCCCTGGCACATATTAGTTTAATAATTATAATTTTCCTTTGTCTTCCTCTGTGATGCCACCACATTTAATTCAAATTATAATTCAGTTATAGAAGTGTGTGGTTTCCTCAAGATAACTCCTTAGAGCGGGCAATGTGGCCTAGTGGTGAAGAAACGAGCTCTGGAGGGATCAGCTGTGTGATCTCAGGAAAACTACAGAAACCCTCTGAGACTCAGTGACCTTATCCACAACATGGGGATCATAATGACCCCTCCCTCAAAAGACTGCAAGGATTAAATGAGAAAATACACAAAAAAAAGCTCTAAGCACAGTCCCTGGCCATAACAAGCTGTCAGTGATGGCAGCTGCTGTTCCATTCTTCATCTTGATTTCCAGCATCTAACACAATACTGGACACAAAGTAGGCATGTCAGAGTTCCAGCAGAAAACACGTGTCACAGTCATATAAGAAGAGTCCCAGGAGCTTGATGAATGACTCTTTTGCATAGGTCCTTATACCCTTTCTCTACACTCTTTCACATAGGTCCTTATACCCTGTGTGAAACAGTCATTCATCAAACTCTTGGAACTATAAAGGTGAGGGCTGACTATGGGGGAACCACCAGAGAGGGGCAGTATCCTGGGGCTGGCAACTGGGGGACTTGTTACCACTCCCAATCCTGGAGCAGAGAGAAAATAGTTATCTCCAAACAGGGAGCTGCATGTAACAAGACACCATATAGGACCCAGATCTTCTTTCACGATCTGGGGCTATAGCCAATTCGTGAAAAGCCCATCAAGAGGAGACAAAGAATGAATATCCAGAACTCACTCTCCTCCTTCCCCTCCTCTAATCTCCTACTGATTCTCCTGTTGATCTAGCCCAACTGGAAGCCAGAGAGCAAGACAGCATACTGATGTAGCCCCTTGGGTAAGTCTTCTCAGGCATGAAGCAAGGAGAAGGCAAGGGAGAGGATCTGGAGGTGCAAATGGAAGACATCCAGCATAGTGGGTCTTCATAAATATGCATTAAACAAAAGAACTAACCAAGGAGCTTCACGTACCGCAAAACTGAATTCTTACTATAATGAAAATGCTGACACACACCAAACTTCAGGAATATAACCCATACTGCTATGCTAAAAACTATTATAAAAACCAATTACTGTATTTCACCAGATCCCATTTAAAATAGTTTATTACAGACTGAGTCATTTAAGTTTTCTAAGGAGCCACAAACGTATTGTGGGGTTTTTTTTCTCCAGGCCAAATTCAATTCTATCTCAATGACAAAGCTTGGAGGCTATTTATATAAGGGAAGTAGAAGTAGGGAGAATTTACCTGAATAATTCAGGACCAAAAGCTCTTTATTACAAAATGGAATGAGGGGAGGGTGCTGAGGTCTCAAGAGCAGGATGAGATTAATGATCAAGACTGTAGCAGGAAGTCAGTGAGACTTCCCTGGCCTGTGAGATCAGGAGAAGCCCTAAGAGGCATCTCCCACCTCCCATTTCTCCCACACCTTTACCCACTCCTAGAAATCCTGTTAATTGTTAATTTTCAAGGCTTAACCTCTCAGGGCCCTGTGTTGCCCATGCATCTTTACTCTGTTCTGCTCCTGCCTCCCTGGACATAAATGTTGGGCGGTTGAGAGTTTTCTTGGCATCTATCAAAGAACCGGGGGCTTACACGGCAGAATCATCACATCACTCTGCCATTGAGATGGTGTCGTGCCTTGCTAGAAACTCTCCAATGAAATGAACCAACTCCCAATACCTGCAACTTGGATGACTCTTAAAACCATTATGTTGGGCCATCAGAGAAGATATACTGAGAGTATATACTGAGCAACTCATTCATATGAAACTCTGCAAAAGAGTTTAGTGAGAGAAAACAGATTAGTGGTTGTCAGAGCTGGGGGCGAGAGATAAAGGTTGGGGATTGTCTGGCTGGGAAAGAGTACAAGGGAACATTTGGGGGTGATGGTAATGTCTTACATATTGAATGAGATGTTGATTAGATGAGACGTACACATTGGTCAAAGCTCCAAGGAACTGTACATTTAAAATAGGTAATTTACAGCCAGTCACAGTGGCTCATGCCTGTATTCCCAGGGTTTTGAGAAGCCAGGTTGGGAGGACTGCTTGAGGCTAGCAGTTAGAGACCAGCCTGGGCAAGACAATGAGACCCTGTTTTATTTACCTATTTATTATATTTTGGACAGCATCTCCAAAATATAAATAAATAGGTAAATAAATTAAATGATAATTTTATTTTATGTAAACTATATTACAATGGAGTTAGTGAAAAATAAATCAAAACAAAACTAATATTCAGTGGCTCTAATCCTCAGGGTAAAAGACCTTACTATAACCTACAAGGCCTTGAAAATGCCACTGTGCCTTTACTTTTTCTGCCTCCTCCTCTTTATTCTTTATGCTCCAGCCACAGATGTCTCCTCGCTGTTCAAAACTGGCCAGGCCTGCTCCTGCCTCAGAGTCTTTGCAGTTGACATCCCCTCTGCCTGCTACACTGGCACTTCTCCCAGAACTCCACCTGGCTCAGCCCCTTGCTTCCTCCAAGGCTTTGAACAAATATCACCTTCTCAGTGAAGCCTTCCTGGTCTGCCTGCCTGCCTTTCACCCTGAGTGTGTGCGTGCACGCACACACACACACTCACACACATACACACACACACACTGTTCTCCAGTCAAACAGAAGAGTTCATGTATTCAGGAATACACATTGTTCTTGTGTGCTTCTCTGCCTTTGCCCTTGATGCTCTTTATGCCTTTTCTCACTGCACCACCTGGCTGCACAGAGAGGGAAAGAAACTTGTTCATGGTCACACAGCTATTAAGTGGCAGAGGTGGGATTTAAATCCAGCCATCCCATCCAGAGCCTATGCACTCAGCCACTACATTACACTGACATGTACATGCAAGCATGAAGGAAGGCAGTGGAACAGTTTAGGCTGAATTCCATTCTGCTCCTGTTCTCCCCCTCCTGACTTCCCCCAGGATCCTCTTTAATTTTGTTCCCTTTTAGAATCATAATTAAAGGAGAGAAACACAAAGAGAGATTCTCCCCTTCAAACCTTTCTGTCCACATTAACTTCACTACGGGGGGCTTGGGGAATTCCAAGTTTGCCCAGAAAATTGCTATAGCAGTACAACATAAAATGTATTTAAGCAATTACATTCAATTTTTTTTTTCTTTTTGGTAAATTGACTTCTGTTAAATGGGGCTTCATTAATGGAATCTGGCTTGGGGAGAATTAAAAAAAAATCACTCCCTTTAATGCAGGTAGTTGATTATAGAAAAGTGGCTTTGAGCTCCTCTGCAGAAAGCTCTGAGCCCTTCTCTTCATGAAGGAGAGCTCAGAGCCGATTTTGTGGGAAGCATTTCTTCTTAAGAAGCTTCTCCTGTGCAGTCGGGATGTTGGGGAGCTGAGAGATCCCCACCAAGATGACAACAGTGACTGTGCAAGGAATTGCTGCCTAATTGTAAGTCGAGGGGGAGGAGTGTTAGGAGATAATGGTTTAAATCTTAGTATCCTTGAAAACTGACATCTTCAGGAGAACATTCATTCATGCAATCACCAAGCACATCTCGTGTACAAGGCACTGTGCTTGCAAGTGAGGGCCATTCCCACTGTGGTTCCCTAGATACAGGGAGTCCCTGAAAAGCCTGTAATGTATATGATTCAGCTGCAATGTCTTCTTTTCTGTTCAGTCTCCATTCCTCCATCAATAGCATCTGGCTTCTGTCCTCCCAGAGCATCTTCTGTGGGCATTAACTGTTAAGTAAGCTATGTGTACAGCCCTGGTCTGATTCAGAGTTGAAGCACTTCTGCATCCCCGTACTAAGCATAAACCATCCTTCCCCATCCCCAAGGCTGGCCTAGGAGAATGTGTGAAATATAGGAGGTCCTCACTACCTCATCCCTACTCCCAAGCCCTCTTCCCTTCCCACCTGTCACCTGCTTTCCTCCCTAATAAATGGAGAGGACACCAGGATACAATCAGAGAAACCCTTTTGAAAATGTCTTGGTCAGTGGTGGGCAAATAGTCCCAAGACCCTTGTTTGATCCCTCCTCTGATCCCTCCTGCCAATCATCCCTTCTCTGCCAAGAGAAGGCTGATCCCTCCTCTGCCAAACCTAAGCCACCTCTCATTCCTTAAGCAAACCTTTAATGACTCAGCCTTGACACCCGTTCTCATCAAAATGCTTTCCAAAATCAGTTTTCCTTCAGCTAAATTCCTAGGACTTGCTATGTCAAGATAAATGCTTTCCCCAAGACAATCCCATGATGTTACATATTTTCCAGGAACTGAATGAATGCCTGGGACAAATGGAAGTTTCTTTTGAATATGAGCCACTGGGCCTTATTTTTGAAAAGATCCCCCGCTGCCTCCCAAGACTTTCTTTCCCAGCAGTGCCTGCCCACCCTGGTTGTATGGACAGCTCTGAAAGATCTGAGCCAGCCTTTAAAGATTCAATTTCCGGCTACCCTAGTAAGTGTTTGGGATCGGTTACTATGCTCTGAACAAATCAAAGCTTTCCCCCAGTCATTCCTACTCCTTAGTGCGACTGCTCCCCGTAATCCACACCATCCTCCTGGTCACCTACCCCAGGCAGCATCCTCAACTCCCCCCTCTCCTTCACCCCTATCGCCAGTTGTGGCCAAGTCTTCTCCATTTCATGTCCTCATCATTTCTCACCTGGACTACAGAGATGGGCTTCTGATTTGCCCTCTGCCTCTGTTCCATCTTCCATACTTTGTGGGGAGATTTGATCAAATCCCTGCATTGCTGGAAAGCCAGCAGCAATGGTTGAACCCACTGGCTCCAGAATAAAGTCCAAGTTTTTTTAATGTCTTTCCTCTTCAATGACACACACTTTGAGATCCAGCTACACAGAATGGCTTGTACATCTGGAATGTGACTAATACTTTCATGTCTTCATGCCTTTGCACGTGCTATTCCCTCTATTTGGAATGCCCTTTTCCTGTTGCCCCACCTGGCTACTTGGGAAAATATCACTGATCCTATAAACCTAACTAAATATTTCCTTTCCTCCATCTCTCCCTCTTGCTGCCCCCAATAGACCTGACCCTGCCATGGTCCTGGGCATACCAAATTGTACTCATCTTTTGAGTTGACCATCTCTCCAACTAGCAGGCAAACTCCAAGGGAGCTGGAATAAAATCTTCTTTTTGTCTCAGTGTCTCCAGTGCACAGCACAGTGCCTGGCACACAGAACAAATAAATTTCATAGAACAGGGGTTGGCAAACTGTAGCTTGCTGCCTGTATTTGTAAATATAGTTTACCAGATCATAACCATGCCCATTCGTTCTTTTACATATTGTCTGTGGCTGCTTCCATATTGCAATGACAGGGTTAAGGAGCTGTGCAAGATGACGGCTTGCAAAGCCCAAAATATTTATTTTCTGGCTTCTTACAGAAAAAAAAAGTTTGCTAATTCCTACCATAGAAGCCTCACAGATGATGTAGTTGGTTGGTAAATAAAAATTTCATTTCTAAGTAGGAAATCATAAAAAAAGGACACAGATGTAGCTTCAACATTTAATTATAATGTACAACACTTAAACCTACATTTATTTGCCAATGAGTTAAATGCAGGACTAAGGCCCTTCCTTTGATCATGAGTTTGTTCTCCACGTTGTCTGTCTTATATAAACTACAACCATAATGCATCATTCACCATTTCCAATGTTGCTACAGATTGTCCAGCCAACAAATATTTCTTGAGCAACTGCTATGTGCCAGGCATTGACACCCATTCTCATCAAGGTGCAAAGGATGCTTTGTCCCATCCCCCTCCCCTCATGTAATGTACCCAGTGGGGTACAGTTGTCTCATTCACTCACACCTAATATCTAGTAAGCAATTCTTTTAAGAGACTCTCCCCTTTGTGGAATCATTCCAAAGCATTCAATTTAGTTTCCATAGATGCAACTGTATTTCCTTTCACACTCATATTTCATCAGTTTATGTGATGTTTAATTTAAATCACATAATTACAATAACAAGTATGACTGGCACTGAGAGACTTGGCAACAAACCCAACTGAATCTCGGAAAGTGCAAGACTCAGCTGATGGGAGCAGAAGTGCACAGGCATAGAGGGTGGGGGTGGGAGATGGCCTGTAGGCAGCAGGTGCTGGGGGTGCCATGGGCACCTGTCAGGAAGATCTACTGAGGCCATGGGAGTGCTGGGTAGTCCAAGTGGCTTCTTTCGGGGAGGGGAGTGGGTTAAGAACACTTTCATTAGACATGCTTTGTGAATGAATGAATAGATGAACAAACAGCAGTGGCTTGCTTTCAGTGGTGGGATATCAAATTATATCCCCTCTGCTATCACGAGAGTGGGAACCAGCTAATCTTAAAATCTGAGATTTGAGAAGGACTTCAGAGGTCTTCTAGGTCTAATGCCCAGCTATATAGGAATCTCAACCACAGCATTCTTGAAAAATGGTCAGTTTTGATCTATTTTGAATGTTCCCAACAATTAAGAATTTACCTTCTTGCCAAATTCTCTCTCCCAATCTTGATCCATCCCCACTCTTTTCCTAGTTACTTCCTACTCATCCTGCAGGTGTATCAGCCCCTGGCTCAGGAAACCTGTCATTGTTGCTGAGTCTGGTTTACTTCTCCTTTGTTCCTTCTGGGCACCCGGCACTTTCTCTACCATAGTGCTTGTCTCACCATGCATTGCTGAACTATGAGCTCCCTGAAGACAGGAGCTGTTTCTTTCTTGTTCACAGTCCTTTCCTTGGTACCTTGGAGAGTGCCTGACACAAAGAAAGGGCTCAGTAAATATCACTCAGTGGAAGAAGGGATGATTGGCCAAATGAATGAATGAATGAGATCCTGCTGGTGAAAGCAGAGGTTACATGTGGGGAAAAGCAGAGAAAGAGGCAGTGAGCAGGTGAGCCAGGGAATAGGAGGGAGGGCCTCCAGTGCCATGTGGGCTTCACCCGGGTTTCCTATGGCACTGCCCACTCCTGTCAAGACATGCTTCCCCACTCCTAGTTCCTCAGCCCTGGCTGTGCCCCCCTACCTGCTTCACTCAGCAGCTGCTGGTACCTTCCTGGGGATTCTTGCCATGCTGACCTATCCCCAAAGCAGCAACAGTGGGGTCTGCTAATCAATGTGGGCAAATGTTCCCCTTTCCCCAGAAGCAACTCAATAAACTCAACAAATTATCAGAGCTCTTTCCTGCTCAGCTAATTGTTAGCTCTAGGGAACCCACACAAACCACATCAGGTAAATGTTTTTTCTCCAGATGCACAGCTCTCTGGAGGACATACATCTGGGGCTGGGAGTGCTGAGGGACAGGGAGCCTGGCTGTGTTTGTTGTCGGGATGAGGGCTTCCTCACCAACGTGCTGGGCCTTGTGCATTGGGTGGTGGCATATTGTGAAGGTCTAGGGGTAGCTTGGTGTGTCAGTTTCCTTCCATTGCTAGCTCAGCTGCTCAGCCGGCAGAGCTGATGGGTAAGGTGTTTCCTGCCTCTATAGAAAGGATCTTCCCATCGTGCCGAAGTGACAGAACAGGGTTGGGTCTGAAGATCAGAATTGGTGCCGATGCCAAGCTCTGGATGAGGAGGCTTGATCCCCAGCAGCTTTTCTGAGTTGCCCACTCCATCCTTTACTGTCTCCAGGTCTAAATCAGGCAGTTCTACTTTCTTATGAGGACTAGAAGCCTTTGAAGACCAGTCTCCTTCCCTCAACCCACAGCTCCTGAAAGGGGCAGCCATGTACATCATATGACTCATAGGCTACAGGTGATTGGATCCTGGTGGTCATGTGTCCCAAGCTAGGCCAATCAGCTGATGGAACTTCTATCAGGAAGGTAGGTCCCTATGGCCCCCATTTGAGGTTTGGATGGAGAGAAGGGCTGCGTACTCACTTCAATGAGGAAAAGATTCCACAGGCGCGGCTTTCCCAGGGGAGATTTGGGAAATGGTGTCCTAGCATCATTTCTCCCATGTCTGTTGCTGCCTCCCCAACTTGCCCTTATTACTCTTATATGATGTCCCGAACCTTGTACATTTATCCTCCAGGTCCTAAGCCAGTCTGACTGGACAGAATCTAAGAGCAGTCTCCACTCTGACCAGCTGCTGAGCCTTTAGCTGGCTGTCCCCTGTCCCCAGCCCAAGTCTCTATTACACATTAGATCTGAGATCCGGGATGGCAGCGCCGAGGACTGGCAGCCTCCATGCGCTAGGATGTTAAAGCCTATCCCCGTCAGACTTGGCCCAGAACAGGGTGCAGCCCTCAAGAGTGTGGTGATTACAGCACATTCACACTCAACTCTACTCAACCCTCTTCTTCCTGGCTCGAGTATCTGTCTAAGTGAAGATGACACCTATCTGGCTCATCACCTGTCTTGTTCCCCACAGAGGCAATAGGTTTAAAAAGGTTAAGGGTTAAGGGCCAGGCCTTCGAAACCAGACAGTGCTATATTTGAATCTGGGTTCCACTGTTTCCTAGTGTGAACATAGGCATGTGACATAACTTCTCTGAGCCTCAGTTTCCTCATCTGTGCAATGGGATTCCTCTGAGCAGCATTGTTCATGTGTGTAATGTGACCAAGTCTGTGCCTAGCATACAGTAGGTGCCTCACAAACGTGAGCTATTTTCCCCCTGCCTTGCTGGGGTTTGAGAAGAGGGGGTGGGATCTTACCAGGGCCTTGAACCCTTCCCTTCAGAGCAGACTTCAGAGCAGCCTGGCTTAGTTTTCTCCAGGGAAATGAAGCACCTGCATCTACTCTGGTGACAGAGCAGTGCAGGGGTAGAAGGACAGGGCACTCTGTTGTACCCAGACCAGCCAGTACACCTGGCCATCACCTTCCCTCTTTCTCTGGGGAACCCCAGCCTGGCCTCCACTGGCTCCTGCTTCCTCAGCCTTGCCCGCTTTCCACCTGTCACTGGCAGACATGACTTGGAGAAGGAACCTGCTTCCTGCCATAGAGGGTGGCACCGCTTACCTTGCAGAAGCCTCCATTGCTTGTAATTAGTACTATTTCTCACGCAGAGGGACTGCTGTAAATGGCTTCTTGAGGAGCTGCCCACATCAGTGTGTACCTGCCACTCAAATGCCACTCTGAGTTTGAGCATCATGGATGTTCTTTCCCCTGTCAGGAGGCAACTAGTGGGCCCTGCCAGAGATCAGCAGCTCTGATGCCCAGAAGAATGAGTGAGCTGCCCAACAGCTGGAGAATGGGTGGGTTAAACATCTCACACACACCAAGGCTAGCGAGCAAGTGGTCCTAGAGTCCCATGGAGCTGAGTTCTAATCCTGCCTTCATCATCTGCTGGCCATGTGACCTTGGAGAGGTGGCTTCACTTCTCTGAGCCCCTCTTTCCCCAGTTTATATCTCATAGTGCGATTGTGAGTGATGCTCACAAAGTTCCCTCTAAGGCCTCAAGACATGACATCTATAATTCTTGGCCCTGCCATATCTCTGTACAGCAAGGTAGGCTCGTAGGCAAAGGCAATAAGATTTACTGAATAGAAAGCAATTTGGGGTGGAGACTTTGCACATGGGCCCTAGAAGGAGACTGCCTGGATTCAAGTATCATCAGCTCTAAACATACTGTCTCACTTTGGGCAAGTAACCGACCTGCTTTGGGCCTCGTTTCCCCATCTATATAGTAAGGATAATAACAGCACCCACTTCATTGAGCTGTTAAAAGGTTTAAGTGAGGTGATGCACATAAAAGGTGCCTGGCACATAGCATGTGCCCAAAAAGCATCAAAAATGGGGGAGAGGAGTATTCCTCTCTTCTTGTATTGCTTGCTGCCATCCATCTGGATTAATGCCTTATACTTTGGCTTTCAGATGGGAGAAATGCAGATCACATCCACCTACAGAAGAAATGATTGGCTGCTATGGATTGTCGCTAAACCATAGGAAGAGTAGAGTTATAGCTGGCCTCAGGGATGGCCAGAACCAGGAACTCCGATGCTACAAAGCCTCTCTCTCTGTGCCCCATCTATGTTGTGGTCTGCCCGCTGGCATCATTCTTTCTATTGCAAATGGTGGCTGCTTGAGGCTGGGGCCATGACCACCCTTAGTAGCTCTGTGATTCACTCTCTCACCTTCACCACTAAAGAGAAGATGATGATCTCTCCCCATGATTCTAATTAGAAAAAGCCCATCAGAGGCCTCTGATTAGTTTAGCTGGGGAATGTGCCCATTCCTGGGGCCAAGGAGGTGGCCCCCACTAGAACCCCATGACTAGTTTGGGGACAATTCTCCAAAAGAAGGAATGTGCTCAAAAGAAGGGAGGAGCACTAGGCAGACAAAACAAAAGATGTCTACTGTGGATGAAGGAGAAGTAGGTGGAGTGAATGATCAGTCACTCTCCTATTCTGTGGTATAAAGGAGTAGGTTTTTAAAGACCTGTGAGGAGTGTCTATAGATCACTGTGTGAGGTATCAACCCAGAGTTGATCTTGTTCTAGGTCTGTCCCATATCCTTTCATAGGTAGCCAGGCATCCCCCCACCATGCTGATCCCATTCTGTGTCTAATCATCTGACCACTGCCTGCCCACCTGTCCACTAGTCCATTGGTCTGGGTGCTGACACCTCACCTGGCTTTGGCAAGCCTCTGCCCTTGGGAGGAGATGCAGGCTCCATGCTTATTTTCAGATGCTGGTTCTATAGGTCATCCAGGTCAGTTGACCTCCTGGACTTGGAATATCCCATGACCTAGAGATAAGTTGACTAGATCCATCCAGAATGAGGATCAACCCAGATTAGAAAAGACTCACCTGAATCTTTTTAAACATTGAGATTTAGACAACTTTTTCTCCTTTCTTCTTCCCTCCTCCTGAAATTCTTGGCCTTGTTCCTTCCCGGTTGCTTCCTTACCCTAGCCCCAACCAAGGGAGATCCTAGACTACCCATAGAGGCTAAACATATGAGCCAAAGGGTCAAACAAGCTTGAGTTCGAAGGCTGGCTCTGCCACTTATTGCTCTGCGGCCTTGGATAAATTAATCTCTCTTTTCATGCTTCCAGGCTTCCAGAGATGATGTACCCAAAGTATGATCATCATATTTATTAAAATATTGTGCTCACATCTGATTAACAGCTCCTGGCAAGAGGTCAGTGCCAAAGAGTCTTGGACTGACTGCTTATGGCCTCCCTATCTTCTTATTATGTAGCGATCCAGGTGAATTCAGATGATTTCCTGGATTACCACCCTCCTTCCTGAGACACATCCATCCCTCAAATACTGTTCATCACTGGCCATCAAAGCAGCAGCCACACTGCTCCAGCAACTCAACAGCTATTTATTGAGATGAGTGTGTGAGTACATGAGTGAGTGAATGAACTGAAAGAACATAAGAGTGAATTAATTGGTAAGTGAATGGGTGAATTAGTGACTTAATGAATCAGCAAGTGAGTGAAGAAGAGTGTGCAGGATTGAATATATCATGTTCTCCTCCCTCAACAAATCGAATATGCGGTGGTGTAAAACTTTCACCTTAAAATGTGTCTTCTGCATTAATACAAGCAGGGGTTAAGAATGGCAGAGGAAAAGTTACAGACAAGAAGCTGGAGGAGAAAGATACTGTGCTAGTTTCCTATTGCTGCCTTTACAAATAACGGCACATTTAGGGGCTTAAAGGACACAAATGTATTGTGTTATAATTCTGGAGGTCAGAAGTCCAAAATGGGTTTCAGCAGGCCAAGATCAAGGTGTGGGGAGGGCTAAGCCCCTCTGGTGGCACCAGGGAAGAATCCTTTTGCTTGCCTTTTCCAGCTGCTAGTAACCACCTGCATTTCTTGGCTTGTGGCCTCTTTCCCTTGTCTGCAATACCAGCAGTGTAGCATCTTCAAATCTCTCTCCACCTCTGATCCTCTGCTTCTCTCATCACATCTCCTCTGACTGTGACTCTCCTGCCTTCCTCTTACAAAGGCCATGTGATTCTATCAGGCCCACCTGGATAATCCAGGATCATCTCCCTATCTCTAAATCCTTAGAGTAATTTTAGCTACAAAGTCCCTTTTGCCAAGTAAGGAACAAATTCACAGGTTTCAGGGCTTAGGACACCGGCATCTTTGAAGAGGCATTCTTCTGCCACTTGCAGATGCCTTGCTCAGAGGGTAAATGCAACCAGTGAGTCCCACTCCACAGAGGAAGGGGCAGGAGGGGGATGAAGGAAGTTTCAAAGCATTTGACAAACACATGCCTATGCCAGGTATTTTTGCTATTGTTGCTGTGGCCTGAGTACGAAGGGTTTTGAAAAGCTCACATGATTCCATCATGCTCCAAAATTTGAGAGATACTTTGACAGAGATATGCTAAGACCATATGCTGCTGTAATTGAGGGTAAAATCTGGCCCTGTGATTCCTGGAGGTGATGGATCAAGAACAGGGTGTCTTTACCCTGGGTGCACATTGCTATCAACAGGGAAGATTTTTTTTTCCCCAAAAAATGTTATTTTGAAATAAGAAACGAGTACAAAGATCGTATAGAAATGTCCTGTATATCCCTCACCCAGATTCCCTAATGTTGGCATCTTACATAACCCTGGGACATGCGTAAAAACTAAGAAATCAGCAATGGTACAGTACTATTAACTAAATGAAACATTTTATTCAGATCTTCCCAGATTTCCACCAGTGCCCCACTTTTTTTTCTGTCCCAGGATTCAGTCTAGCATCTCTCATTGCATTTGTCCTGTCTTCTTGGTTTCTTCCAATCTGCATTAGTTTCTTAGTCTTGCATTGGTTTTTTTAAGATCTTGACATTACTGAAGGGTACTGATCAGGTGTTTGGTAGAATGTTCTTTATTTCAGTTTGTCTAATGATTTTTCATAGACCTTGGCTATGGATTTTTGGGAAGAATATCATGGGGGTGAGATGCTCTTATTATGGCATCACAGAAGGGGGTTCTGTGATCTCAGCATGACCCGTTACTGATAATGCTTACTTTGATCACTTGGTTAAAGTGGTGTCTGCCAGATTTCCCCACTGTTAAGTTACTGTTTGTCCTTTTCCATGTTCTATTCAATAGGAGTGGGTGGCTAAGTCCAGCCCACACTGTAGGAGATGGAGAGTGCCAGCTGTTTTTATTCCTATCATTTCAATTTGTTTCATCCTCATGGCTTTATTATCACCTCACTACTTCTTAGAGATATGGTTGTAATGAGCTAGACTTGCCCAAAGCTACTCAGCTACAAATGGTAAAGCTAGAATTTGACCTTATATCTGTCTGGCTTCAAAGGCCATGTTCTTTCCACTTCATGTTATTGTCACCAAGTAAAGAGGATCTCACAGTCTCCAAGGTGGGAGCTCCCTCTCAGCTTGTCTGGATGGTGTTTTTCAAACCCATCCTTGGAGGGTGACCCATCAGTGGGTCATAAGGTCAGTCTGTGGGTGGCATTTTAAATAACAACATAAAGTAGAAGTGACTAGAACAGAGTAGAAAGTAAGAGTACGTCATACAAGTAGAACATTTTTATCTCTATATCTTCTGTGCTTTGCTACCTTTATCCTTGTATGGAGATAGAAATAGCCCTCCCATAGGCTTGTTATGAGGATTGAATGGAATGATATACATAAAGTGCTTAGAAGAGAGGCTGGCTCATATTAAGTATTATATAAATATTAAGTATGTATGTATGTAAATGAGTCATGATGTAAAATGTATTTCTTATTGCAGACTGCAATCAAGATGTTTGAAAATACTGAACTCACATCTGTGGACGACGAGTTGGCAGATTTATGACCCCCAGCTTGCAGCCTATTTTTTTTAAAATAAGGTTTTATTGGAACACAGCCACACTCATTGGTTTAGGTATTTTCTATGGTTACTTTCGGGGTATAGTGGCAGAGCTGGGTACTTGCAACAGAAACCCTGTGGTTCACCAAGCCTATCATATTTACTATCTGGCCCTCTAGACCAATGCTCCTGCCTGGAGGTCATCTCATAATCTAGGGAATATTGGACACCTCTTCCTGGGCATGTGGTCTGGTCATGCCACTGTCCTTGTAGGCATGCTTGCTCTGCAGACCACTCCAGGCTATGTGACTGCCGGGCCCTTGGATCTCCAGAAGCTCATTACTCTTCTCTATGAAACTGATGCCTACATGGTGAAAGGCTAAAAACATGGTACTTTGGTTAGGGTCCCAGCAGGAAACAGATGGCCACTCAAAATTAAAATAATTGGTGAGGCCAGAGTGTGGGAAAGTAGCAGAGACCTCAGAGGCTCATAAACGTCGAGCTTTTACCACCCTAGGCATAAGGAGATAATGAGAGGGGGCAATGCCTGTATTGGAAGGAGAGAGTCACTTAGAGAGAACATCTTATGAGGACCAGTGACCTTTAGTCCAGGGACACAGAACCAGCTACAGCTGACCCTGGGGTGGGGATCCAGGAGAATAAATGCCTTGACCTAATTTTCCTCCACCTCTGATCTCCTATGGGGGGACCCCATTGACCAAAGTGAGATGGAAACCAGAGAGTATGGGATCCATTGATGTGGCTCATACAGACCAGCTTCCCAGGCCAGAGAAGGCTGAAAAGAGAAGGTTGGAGAAGGCTGGAAAGGGGATCTGGAATGGCAAATCTTAGATACCCAGCACACAGCATTGATTTAGGAAGCCAGATTTATTTACCTTTCCTAAGCTCCCCTAAACAAGGACTTTAGGGGAGATTGACATAGCTTTTCCCTTTTACTGCCTTTTCTTCTTAAATCTGTTAGCTTCCCGATAGCTATTGTGGGTTAATCTTCCTGGATCTTATCATCATGAGAGGGATGGAAGGTTATGAACAGAGACACAGATAAGCTACTGTGTGTGTGTGTGTGTGTGTGTGTGTGTGTGTGTGTGTGTGTCTGAGCCTGAGCAGAGTCTGATTAATATGTGAATTTTCATTAAAGTTCTTCCTCATGTCTCATCTTTTGGTCTCAGAAAGGAGTTGTGTCCCATTCTTCTATGCAGTCCTGCTCATGTCCAGCAAATGTGTGAGTCGACCTCTGGCCCCTTGGGAGAAAGAGCCAGGGGAAAAAAGGCTACCTCGGCTGAGAAGTGTCCCCAGAGGAATCTGTTCCTTTGCCAGACCCCCTGCTAGCCCAGACTTCCTTGTCTGGCACTTGATATCTTATAGGCCCCCAAATCCTGCCACACAACTACAGCTTGTCCCCTGGAGGGGCTTTCCTGGCCAGTCCAGAATGCTCAATTTATGAAAGATCATAAGCTCACACAGGGGAAGGGGCTGGCTTGGGCCACCACCTTGCAGCAGAGCTGGGGCAGAATTCAGGATTGGAGACTCTTATTAGTTTCCATCTTTCTTTTACAGAAGATGAACGTTGAAGTCTTGGAACCCTGGGAATGAACCTCGAAAAATTCAAAATATGGTCATCTTAGGCAAGTTTCCTTGTCTGGCTCAGCTGCTGAGACCACACATCTGGACCCTCAGTGCCCTGGCAGCAGCTCTGTGCAGACAGGATGAAGTACAGGCTTAGGTCAAGCAATCAGCAGTCAAAATCCACACTCCCACCCGTGAGTGACTGTTCAACCTTGAACATGTTACTTTTTATGTTAATGAAACCCGGTTTTCTAGTCCTATAAATTTGGGGCTATCATCAACCATTAAGTTACATTAAACTCAATGTCACACAGGCAAGTACCTAGCAGTGTCCAAAGGCCCAAAAAATGACACTTTTTCATCTTTTCTCTTCCCTCCAATTAAAAGACTAGTGGAATATCCGCAACTACTTTGACCAAAAGCCAGAAGCCAGCCAGTTTGAGCGTAGCTGTTACAGCTTTGTGTTCTAAACCTAAGAAATGGGGACCCCTCACATGAGAGTGGGGAGGCTTCTGGATGTGCTACAAATTCCATCTCATTTTCATGGACTCAAGTGTTAATTAATAAAATCTCAAGGTTCTCCTCCCTCTTTCCCCTCACATTTCTTCAGAGAAACGAAGAGTTCAAACTCACAGCCCAAGCGCTCAGGTTTTAAATTAGACAACTTTGTCCTGACAGGAACCAAGTCACAGCTGTCATACCTGATTACTTTTAGAGTTACTACTAAACCCTTTGTATGGCATGAGCTGCCACTGTTCAAGGCAAACAGAAAGACTTCACATTTTATCATGACAGCCCTGGAGCTATCCACCTCCCTATGTTCATTATTCTCAGCCTGTCTTTGGAAGGGATGATGTGGCATCCTGACAATCGTATAGTGAAGAAAGCAGACCCCATGGCCTGTCACTACAGCCTAGGGATTTTAAGCCCCCAAAGTGCAGCAAAACCCACTGCCTCCAGAAAGCCAAGGAAAATTATTTCTGGGGGACATAGCTGCCTCATAGCCTTCTATGAATGAACCATCATCTTTCATGAGAGGCAACAATTGACCCTCAAGTAACCAACCAATAAGAACACCTGTACACAAATGCCCACAGGTGTTGGCTGGGATTGGCTGGCTTGTGGATGATGTCACAGTTTCCCTCCTCTGACTCAACAATGCCATCACTACTGAAAAGGCTGAGCCCTGACTGCAGCTCTTGCAGACAGAAAAATTCACCGCAAGCAGAGCACCTTCTAGATTGCTCCTGGAGTGTGGGGACAACAGTCTCTCCTGCTCAAGTTACTGAATCCAGAAAAAAGATGAACTTACGAACATGGGAAAAGAAATCCAGCTAAAGCCTAAGGCAAATGTCTCTTCTTACATCCACTTTTTGCTGAATTACAGAAACAAATTCAAGGAGCAGCAGCCAAATACCTACGTTGGCTTTAAAGAGTTCTCTAGAAAGTGTTCGGAAAAATGGAGATCCATCTCAAAGCATGAAAAGGCCAAATATGAAGCCCTGGCCAAACTCGACAAAGCCCGATACCAGGAAGAAATGATGAATTACGTTGGCAAGAGGAAGAAACGGAGAAAGCGGGATCCCCAGGCACCCAGACGGCCTCCATCATCCTTCCTACTCTTCTGCCAAGACCACTATGCTCAGCTGAAGAGGGAGAACCCGAGCTGGTCGGTGGTGCAGGTGGCCAAGGCCACAGGGAAGATGTGGTCAGCAACGACAGACCTGGAGAAGCACCCTTATGAGCAGAGAGCGGCTCTCCTGAGAGCTAAGTACTTCGAGGAACTTGAACTCTACCGTAAACAACGGAAACAATGTAATGCCAGAAAGAAGTACCGAATGTCAGCTAGAAAGCGGTGCAGAGGGAAAAGAGTCAGGCAGAGCTGATGGATCCAGTTTGAAAAAATAAAATGCCATTCACTCATATTTCCTGTTCCTGGTCTCATGTGTGGCATTAGAGTAGCTGTGACTGACGCTTTGTGGAGGAGGGAGTGGCTTGGTAGAGAGAGATTGGGGCAGGGAAACTGATCCTGAGGAGAGGAAGGGAGAGGAGGGGAAGGGAGAGGAGGGGAAGGGAAAGAAGGGGAAGGGAGGAGAATGGAAGGGAGGGGAAGGGAGGGGGAAGGAGTAGGATGGAGGGAGAGAAGGGAGAGGAGGGCGAGGGAGAGGATGGGGAGAGAAAAGGAGAGGAGGGGAAGGAGAGGAAGAGGGAGAGGAGGGGGAGGGAGAGGATGGGGAGAGAGAAGGAGAGGAGGGGAAGGAGAGGAAGAGGAGAGGAGGGAGGAGAGGATGGGGAGAGAGAGGCGAGGAGGGAAGGAGGAAGAGGGAGAGGAGGGGAGGGGGAGAGGATGGGGGAGAGAAGGAGAGGAGGGAGGAGAGGATGGGGAGAGAAGGAGGAGGAAGGAGAGAAGAGGGAGAGGAGAGGGAGGGAAGAGAAAAGGAAGAGGGAGAGGAGAGGGAGGGAAGAGAAAGGAGGGGAATGGAGGGGAGGGAAAGGGAGGGAACGGCTAGCTTTGAGAGAAGTGTCAGCAGTAAACAAAAGGTGTGACTTGGACCACTGGGTGGGAGTCTCCAGGTGTAAAGTAGCAGCAGTCACGGAGGTAGAAGCACCCTGGTTCTGAGTGGTGATCCAGGTTAGAGGACCCTACTAAGTGTCAGGTTCAGGAACATGAGGTCTGACTCTGCTAAGAAGTGGGAGGACTGGGAAGACTGCCAGGGCTAGAAGGCCTAGAGTTCAAGCTCACACTTCAGGCCCCAGGAGAAACATATGATATCTGAGTTGAGATAGGCCTGAGGGGACCCAGGATTTCCAGCAACACTTAGATATGCTCAGTGGGGCCAGGGTGAGGCCCAGGGGTGTTCCTTAATCAGGAGGAGGCAAGGGGCAGATTTTACAAAAAAAAAAAAAAAAGCAAAAAACAGCAGGGGGCTGGGGACCAGAGCAGTTGTTTTTCAGTGGATAGAGGTATAATATGTGGCATCCACTCCTCTTCCTCTTGTTCACAATACCCTGACTCCCTTTTGTGACCAAGGCTGGATCAGAGGGCAGGATCGCCTTGGCCACAGTCACTGGCTCAGTGGTGGGCATGTGACCCAAGTTGGTCCTATCAGGGTGGATCTCTGGACCTGTGTAAGGAGTCCTGGGGGACACTGCAGTCCAGGGAATGTGGACAGCCATTTGCCATCTCATAGGGCCCAAGAAGGAGGTCGAGATGGTAGAATCCCTGTGGCATCAGAATACTCTCCGAAACTTTTCATTGAAGATGAAAAACACATTGCATTTTTTCCCTGAGATGGTCTGACTTAGGTTTTTTTTCTACTTGACTATAATTTGACACAAATGGGATTGTGCTGTAAGTGTCTGTGCGGTAACTAGATTTTTCAGGCAAGAATATACTGTGGGCAACATTCCATACCAATCAATAAAGACTGAAATGGAATATTTTGAAATGGTTGTTCTGGCTTCTTGACATCAAAAATACTGGGCCAAAATGCAAAGCTGCTTTTTTTGTCACCAGTTTATACATGCAACAGACCTCCCCCTAACTCCACCTCTAAGGACCCCTATTCCATGATAGAGGGACCTACACTTTCTACTCTACTGTGCTGAAAAGCAAAAATACATATTTTTGAACAGTCTTTTAGAACTGCATGAGCCTTTAGGGGATGAAAGGTAATACAGTGATTTAGAAATTCAGGGTCTGGAAGCAAACAGGTCATTTGTGGAGGATTTTCATGTGCCAGGCCCTGTGCTGGGTATGGAGAGGCATGTTACGCACTACTGTTAAGTTCCCGCCCTATAAAAACTTTCCTTCTGACAAGAGAGATGGACTTGGGTGTAAATTGCAGCACTGCAAAGCAAGATGATAAAAGTGAATATGGAAAGTAATAGGGGAGGGACTGGGGACCACCCACCAAGCCTATGCTGCAGTCTTCATGAAGGAAGCAGCCTTATTCCACTTGACAACTTTGTAGGCATGCTGGCAAAATTCCCGTTCCCCATTCCCCACAGCTGCTATTCCAACTTGGCTCTGCTTCCCTTCCAGCCCAACCTCCACCCTCTCAGGAGACGCCCTCATTTTCTGCTTCATTGAGAAAATAGAGATCCTCAGATATAAGTGCTCTCAGCTTCCTTCATTCTGGAAATGTAATCCATACCCATCCTTTCCTCTTGGTCTCACCCCTCATGGAGAGCTAACCCCCTCCTGCTCTTGCTGCCTCCTCCTCGCCTCCCTGGGGCCCTTGCTCCTTACTGTAAGGGTGCTGACCCTCCAGCCTGTACACTCATACAAGTTCACTTGATGCTATGATATGGTGGTCCCCATCTTAATGGTGGCAGGACTTAGGGCAAGTTCTCATTCCTCTGAGCCTCATGTTCTTATCTGTGCAAGGAGGATAATGCCTGCCTTACAGGCTGTTTTAGCAATTAACTGAGGTAATACATGTAAAAGTATTTGGCGTAGTCCTAAACCTAATAGGTAATGTAGCCGATATACTCTAGGGTGGTTGTTCCATAATCCTTTCCCCCTTTCCTGGTGTTCACACCCTTGTATAATCCCCTCCTATTAAGTGTGGGCTGGACATGTGACTTTCTTCTAACCAATAGAATGTGGCAAAGGAGATGGAATGTCACTTCTGTGATTATGTAATGATAATACTACATATTGCTAGCCACTGCTCTAGGGATTCTCCTTGTTGCTTGATGAAATAAGTGGTCAAGTTTGAGAAGCTCATGTAGCAAGGAATGACAAGGAACTGTGGGAAATGTCTAGAAGCTGAGGGTGGCCTCAGACCATCAGCCAGTGAGAAACAGAAGTTCTCAGTCCACCAACCATAAGGAACTTAATACTGCAGCAGCCACACAAGTGGGGAGGTGAATCCTTCCCCAGTCAAGCCACCAGATGAGAACTTGGCCTTGGCTGACCAAGGTCTCAAGCAATGCACCCAGCTAAGCTGTTACTGAACTCCTGACCCCACAGAAACTGTACAAATGTAAGTTTAAAACTATAAATGTTTAAACCATATGAGTGTATTTTGTTTTAAGCCACTAAGTCTGTGGTAATTTGTTACACAGCAATAGAGAATACATTACTCAATAAATGCCCTCTTCCTTATAATTCTAGAAGAGATTGTCTTTAATCTTGTTTCTATCTCCAGCCTCTACCTTCCCCATTTAATTTCCTTTCCTTTGTTACCAATATCTTGAAGGTGGAGGGCCACCTCCTACCCTCCAGTGCTAATTAGATCCTGACTTGTATTACCCTGTAGTGGTTCCAGTTGGGTTGTCTTGTTTCCAACCTGAAATGTGGGCTCTTGGTGGGCAGCAGCTGTGTGATGTACCACACTCCTCTCTGGGAAGTGGGCCCCAACACAGCTAGGCTCCAGCCCTCATGCCACCCCTTTCTGATTTCCTGTGTGATTAATTATGTGAATGTGGGTGGCCAAGTCAGAGTTGACAACAGTTTGCAGTTCCCCTGCTGAAAACTAACTCCATTAACAGTCCTTTATGAAAAAGACAACAGGAGGGTCTGAATCTGCTGGTTTCTAATGACTGTAATGTAATGACAGTGGAAAGAGAGGGAGGGAAGGAGGAGGAGAAGTTGGGGGAGCCTGGACCTAAGATAACGGGTAAGAGAAAAAGTAGGCAGACAATCTGGTATGGTGCCAGCATTCCAGGCCCACTCAACTGGCCTCAGGTGCTCCTGTCCTTGAGAAGAGGAACGCAGGCCCATCACCATCTCGATGACTGAATCACTCAACTCTGATCCTTCTCTCCTCAACCCTTTTCCTGTGTTCATGTAGTCATTAATTTACTTACTCATTAATTCAACAGATATTTATGTAAATCTTATGCCTGCAATATAACAGCAACTATTCTGGTGCTGGGAATACAACAAGGTCCCTCATGTCTCACATTCTGGTGAGGAGAGACAGAGAATTAAAAAAACAACAAATAGGCCTGGCGCGGTGGCTCACACCTATAATCCCAGCACTTTGGGAGGCCGAGGTGGGTGGATCATGAGGTCAGGAGTTCGAGACCAGTCTGATCAACATGGGAAACCCCATGTCTACTAAAAATATAATAATTAGCCAGGTATGGTGGCATGTGCCTGTAATCTCAGCTACTCAGGAGGCTGAGGCAGGAGAATTGCTTGAACCCAGGGGGCGCAGGTTGCAGTGAGCCGAGATCGTACGATTGCACTCTGGCCTGGACGACAGAGTGAGACTTCATCTTAACAAACAAACAACACAAATAAATATATCAGATCAGTTTTTGATAGTGTCAAGTACTCACTAGAAAACAAATGTGGGTAATGAGATAAATGATGATGCATAGGGTAGAGGGCACTTGAAATGGGTGGCCAGAAGTTTTCTGTGGAGCTGGCATTTGGTTTTGGATTTACAGGGCAAGAAGGAGCCATACAAGCCAAGGTGTGCGAGAAGAGTCCTCCAAGCAACAGGGAAGCAAGTGCAAAGGTCCTTGCAGAAGGGAGCTTGGCATATTAGAGGGACAGAGGGAGGCCAGAGCGACTGGAGGTGTGAACAAATGGGCAAGACATGGTTGGAAGGGTGAAGGCCTTGGCAAGGGGTTTATGTAGAGATCTAAGTGTAACTGAGAGCCACAGAGAGATTTCAGTAGCGGAGAGACACATGCTTCCATCTTTGACTTTGTGTTGCTGATCATTCTAGAGTCTTCAGAGACTACCAAGTGCCAACAAAGGGATTAACCCCTTGCCCCTCTAAAGGACTGCAAGAAAGAAGACACCAAATCCATGGCATTTTTTTCCTTAGGAAAGAAGGGAGATAACGAGAAGCCTCCACTTGGTATGCCTTGGAGCAGCTGGAAGCTAAAAACTAAACGTGGGAACTGTGAATCCTCTCTCTGGGATATGTTTTCTTAGGAAGTGCAGGAAATGGGT